ATGGCTATACGTTCTCTATATTTTTAAGAGTTATATTGAACGATATAAATTATTTGCTAAGGTTCATTAACTTGATATATTGAGTCGAGAATGAAATTGGGATTTAATTGAGTTGAATTAAATAGTTGAAGTTATATATATATGTTGGTGTTGGACTCTTGATGTTGGCATATTATGAGACTATGAGCATTTATAATTTTTAAAGTATTAGATAGCCGGGATAAATGCCTTGGTCGATTGATACGTCGGATTTTAAATAAGTTGGGCCTTGGTTATTTTTGAATATGAGATTGTAAAGACAAGATTTTTCTAAGTTAAAAACTTATGTTATTTTGTGAAAATATTTGAGAGTATATTTGATACTCCAATACCTTAGATTTATTTTGAGAAAAATGATTGTTTTTGTAAAAATTATTCTAGCATAAAGATACCATTTTTAGACTGGTCTTGAGTAATTGTGGATAAGCAAGGGAGTTGTCGAAAACGGACGTCGCTGTGCCGGATGACAACAACTATAGTCGGAGCCGGCCAGTGTCCGCGTAAGACTCGTAAGCGACTCGTGTACTATAGTGTGTGAGGTGCCGCATACTAAGTACGATGAGAACCACGAGACCCTGCGTCAGTGACCTGAGGCACGCCCCAGCTATCTGTTTCCGAGCGCGGGCACCCCGCAACTCCAGATTGTCTACAATTTACCGAAGACCAGCAAGCCGTGCCCAGCAGACCCTAATGGTAAAATGCGTGCTTTCATTACCCGAATGCACTGAGCAGAGCAGTCCCCGTACAGGCGTCGGGCCGGGCAGCAATACCGACTCGCGCCGGTGTCAGCCTGTCGAGCCATAGAGCACTTAGCCGCACCGGACCAAAATGAGGCGCACTAAACCATTTCAAAATGAGTCGAGAAAAGTTTTCAAATGTCTCGAGCTATATTTTTAGAAATTTTAAAAGTTATTCGAGCCTAATTTTAGAGATTTTGAGAAGAGTCCGAGTCAAGAGGTCCAACGTCTAAGAAAGAGAAAGAATTAAGTCGTGAACCTTACGCTAGAAAATCCTTCAATATGGTAAATTAGTTTACCAAGATAGAGTTAGAATATTTATTCGAGTGTGCTTCATTATTGTAGATTCCGAGGAGTCGAGCCCTCGAGTTTTCTACCGAAGCACTCACTCGTCCTTCAGCAGATTCCAGAAGTCAGAAGTCAGGTGGGGAAGTGTATCTAGCACATTCTTCTGATTAAATACTGTGGTACTTTTGTTTGCCGTTATTTGCATGAATTATGTGTTTCCAGTTTTTTCACTTTTATACCGTGATCGTCGTCGAGACGGTTAATCCTGTGCGGTATGAACAATTATTTTTATAGTTGTTCTCAGATGAGATGTGTCGTATGCTAGCTAGTACCCCGAGGGGCTAAGTAGACAAAAGAAAAGAAAAGAAAAGAAAAGAGATGAGTACAGATGCACCGTCCAGACAGTTGTCAGAACTTTAGATGCACCTTAGCCAGGTGCGAAACCATTATTTGTGTATTATATCTGCTTACAAGGTATTCGTTTTTAATTTGAATGTACATACTTTATAGGCTAAAGATGAGCACGTTGATTATTATGCTCATCCCCCACAACTAACATTTTCAGGTGAAGCAACTAGATAGGCGACACATGTGGTCACCAGTTAATTATTTATCAGTTATCTATTTTCAGAACATTTGCAAACATATTATTATTATTCTATGTCGAGACATTGAATTGAGTTGTTTGCTTTGTTTTGAATTTGAGGATTATGAGATTGAGCAGTTTGAGACTTTATGCATTTATGTTTGAGTTTATTGCATGTCTCGAGTTATATTTGGGGGTTAAGTCCATTTTACCTAGCTAGCTTTGGGTTTGAGATATGAGAATAGAAAAGAGTTAGAATTTTCAGAAAAGAAAGAGTTTTGTGAGTAACTACCCAAGAAAAAAAAGAATTTTCAGATTTTTGAAAAGTTTTAAATTAGTTGAAAATCTTATTATTTTCAATCAATATCTATCAAACACAAATCAACTCTTTATTTATTTTCTGAAACATAAAAGAGCTATAGACATATTACCCAACAACACTCAATGATCAGTCAACCTCTATAAATTAAGGAACGAANGTAACTACCCAAGAAAAAAAAGAATTTTCAGATTTTTGAAAAGTTTAAAATTAGTTGAAAATCTTATTATTTTCAATCAATATCTATCAAACACAAATCAACTCTTTATTTAGTTTTTGAAACATAAAAGAGCTATAGACATATTACCCAACAACACTCAATGACCACCTAAACTCTGGTCTGCTTATTCTATTAGCAAGCTGCTTCTTCTATTCCCTAGCTTGAGTGTATTAGTAGTAGCTCCGATTTCGATTCGAATGCAAAACCCTGGTTCTGCTTGACCAACCCGAACACAAATAAACTCTTTATTTAGTTTTTGAAACATAAAAGAGCTATAGACATGTTACCCAACAACACTCAATGATCAATCAACCTCTATAAATTAAGGAACAAACACAATTTTGAGTGTATATATATATATATATCTATTGGGTTCAAGTGAGAATAGTACCTAGTGAAAGAAATAAGAATACATCTTAATCATCCGATCGGATAATCCAACAACAGAAAAAAAAAAGTCAAAAGTTTGTACTCATTAAGGGCAAATTAAATATTTTATCACCACCCATGTTAGCGGGCCCTACCCCAAACATCGTCTTCTCCAGCTTTCACGTCTCACCATCTCTCTCTCTCTCTCACACACACACACACACAGAGAGAGAGAGAGAGAGAGACGCACGCACATACTCACACAGATGCGCACACACAGACCTCCTCCCTCCTCCGCCGGTCGACCTCCGCCACCTCTGGCCATCATCCTCCTCTCCGTCCCATCTTCACCCTCTTCCCCACGGCCAATCACAACTCCCGCTGTCGCCCGCCACCTCTGAGACCCCTCACCATAAAAAACCCTTCCGCAGACAAATCGACACAAAGAGCAATTAACGACAACAATTGCCCCACTGAATGGTTATGTCTACCACAGGTCGCTGATTTTCAACACCGAAAACCTTCTACAACGTCAACCATGGTGTACCAGATCTGAATGGTTGGGCCCGATTTTGTCGCTACAATTTCATCGCCTTTTACACCGGCGCCCCCATCATACGACGACCTCTCCTTGCAGTCCGATCGGATGTTGTAGAAGCACGGTGGTTGGTGGTTGATTTGCGAAAATTCGCCGGCTTCACTGCAGTCGCCAACGTGTTCAGCCGGGGACATGAATGGAAAGCTTCGAACGGCGCCGTCGCCGGATGGTCCGCCTTTGCCGGAATTTCGTGCCATCGCCGACGGGAGTGATGGCGGTATGACAGGCGACTGGAGAGATGGAGTGTTGGGGGATTTGCTTTAAGAATTAGAATTTTGTTTAGGGGCTTAGTTGTAAATTTAATAATTTTATGTATATTTTAATTTAAAAGTATATGAAAATATACTATTTTTATATATCTCTTAAATACATAATATAATAAATAAAATAAGATAAAAATATTAAAATACTCATGTACATATTGCACATTATTAAGTGACGGGTTGCACTTTTGAGTCAATAATATTGCACTTTAGCATCACAAATGTACGGTAATGTTAATTAAATTAATACTTTAAAATATTAAATACAAAAATCGTAAATACTAAATATATTTTTATTACACAAATGATTTAATAAAATATACAGTAATTTTAATTAAAATACACATTATTAATTTTTTTTAAAAAATTAAACGCACGTTAGTGTTCTGTTGCAATTTGGTTGGGATGAAACGTGCACACTGTATTGTTGCACTTTTGTGTATATGATATTGCACTTTTGCGTATGTGATATTGCACTTTAGCGTATGTACCGACCGAAATAAAACAAAATATATTTCTCTATACGGTTTATATATGTTGGTTCGGTGTTCGTTCTTTACTTTTAAAAAAATTGATTATTTCCAATCGATTTTGGCTCCATTCTAATAATCAACCGACCGAAGTATATATATATATATATGATTAACGATAGAATAAACCGATTACGTCGGTACAATTTTAGTTTGTTCGGTGCGAATCGTAAAAAAATAAGTGCATTGGAAATGCACGATAGTGTTAAAAGAGTTGCACATTAATGAATATCAAATTGCACAACAGTGACCGAAACTGGAAGAGTTAAATTTTTTGTTTGAAATTCTATATTTCAGTTCGATTAATTGTATTTATTTTTAAAATCACGGTTAGCTTATTTCGGTGTCAGCTTTATTTTTTATAATAACTGAGAAACTGAAATGACCGGCCTATATGAAAAAATATTATTATTATTTTTAAATATTTGTATGTATGACGATTGCATTTTATGGTTATACGAATTGTACACTAATGACTATTAGATTGCACTTTAGTGACTATTAAATTGCACAGGATCGAATGACCTCGACCAAACTAAAATTTTTAGTTCGAGAATTTTAATTTCAATTCAATTGTCGAATTTTTACATTTAAAAACTTGGTTATGCCAATTTCATATCAGATTTTTTATTTTTATTCGACTTAAATAAATGAACTATATGAAAAATATTATTCATTTTATTAATATATTTTTTATGTAAAATATTATCAAATTTCAACCATACAAAATATAAAAATATTAAATAGTAAATAGAAATATTAAAATATTAATAATTGTTTGATTAATTACAATTTCACCCATGAACTAAAGTGCAATATATAAAAAAATACTAAAATTGCATCTAAACCCTTATATCTTATCAAATTCACCAAAAAAAGCCCCTGTACATAAATTTGAAAAATATGATGAATAATAAGCCCGTTCATCTCCATCCATCCGAGCACCTCATCCTGTGGCCGTTGGTGGACCTTTGTTGGTCGTCGTCCGTTCGCCGCCGCCGCCGTCGCCTTCCGTCGGCCACCACACAATCACCCGCAGTTGGGAAAGGAGATGCTACCGACGACGACGACCACCACCGATGAACGCCAGTTGCAGCGGAGTGCGGCCGCTGTCGTCATGGTCGCCGGCGAGCTCGCCATCCGGACGTGGTTGTTGAGATCGAAGTGGCCGATGATGGTGGCGCTGTGAATCTGGCGAGGGCGTGGCGGGGCGCGGCTGGGTGTGGTCGGAGGCGGCGGGCGGTGGTTGTGTGCTGTGGTGCCGCCGTCTCTGTGTGTGTGTATGTGAACTGTGTGTGTGCGTGTGTGAAAAGGAAACAGATGTGTGCGTGTATTTGTGTGTGAAAGAGGGGAGGAGAAGGGTTAATTAGTGGTGGGGCCCACTTAATTATGGTGAAATTGAATTTACACAAATACCCTTTGAGGTATCCATTTGATCATGAAATATACATATATTTATAACTATGCCATTGTGTTTTGACTAGAGTTATTAATGTTTGACTTCATCATGTACATGAATATCATTGATCCAATGTTACATATTCATTCTTATTTCTTTCACTATCTATCATTCTCATATGATCCCTTCTCTCTCTCTCTCTCTCTACATATATATATATATATATATATATTTTATTTTATTTTTTTAAGTTGCCCTTTTTTACCAAATTTTTTGAACCCTAATAAAATCAATGAATCCTACAACCAATGCATGAACACAACTTAGAAGCAAACGATTTAAACTTTGGAGCTGTTGGATTATTATCAGAATTGCAATCCCATCCTGGCAAACAAATGTTGGACTCATCAGCTCCATTTTGCCTGGCTTTCTCACACTCTTCCAAGAACTTACCGAATGCGCCCTTCACGTAGTCGGCTCCACCAGACACCGTCATGCTCTCGACTAGTTTTCTTGGGAAAACGTCCTTCATGTGGTCCCCACATAAAACTGCAGCCAGCTGGACGAGCTCCTCTTGGAAATCGCTTAGTTTTGCTTCGTCTTTAGCCTCGGCCTCACGTAGTTTGACTGGCTCTGGTAGGATTTCTGTGCTTAATCATGTCGATATTGTTAGTTGCATACGTTTACTTTTACTTGACTAATTTTGAGTGTTGACGTTTGATTTTGGATTGAGATTAAGAGGTTAGCTGTAATAGTATTGAACTCTTCACAAATTGGACTAGTTAATTACTTAATTTGTGACTTATATCATTATGATTAACTAATACAACCTGGGCAGTCGGTTCTTGGGCTCTTTCTGTTAATGATTGTCTCGAAAGTACCCGCCCATTCGTCGCGCTTAGTTAGAAACTCCCTTAGATTGAACATCTTTTTGATAGTTGCAGGTATAGAAGAATGCTCAAATTCAGATGTTGGATATGGTCCTGAAGGCCCATGTAACACTGCACAAAATCACCAACCACATCAAATTAAGTGTTGTCAAAGTCAAATTTCGAAACATATTTAGACTAAAAATGTCAATAATACATTCATTTTAATTTATTTTTTTTATTTTTGTTTTTTTTTTCTGAAGAAGCAGTAATAGCATAATATATTAATCACATGAACAAGTAATAGTCCCACATATAATTTTTGATCGATCTATCATTCCAATTTCCAATTAAAGGCGTTGTTATAATTTTATAAATAGTCACTAAATTCGATAGCAACGGATATAAATATAGCTCTAACCAGTTCCTTTCTCAATCCATGGAGAAATGAAGATGGTAGGAACCCTAACTCCTAGCCGATTAAACTGAAAATTGTAAGGCTCGGGCCCTGTGATGCCATCCGGGCTGGGAACTCCTTTGACCGGAGTTGGAACATGGTCAAAGAACCCACCATGCTCGTCATAAGTGATGATAAATAGCATCTCCTTCCACTGAGGACTTGACCTCAATGCTTGGTAGATTTCCTTGATAAATTTCTGGCCTTCAAACACATCATGTGAGGGATGATCGTCGTTGCCTGGCAGTAGTTTTAGGTCAAAATATCGTTGTTCTATCACCACGTAGTTGGGTAATTTTCCCTGCTCGCAATGCCTCTTGAAAGTAAGATCGAATTGATGGAAATTACGAATTATGTACTTTAGTTTCCTCAGGTTCCTGCCAATAAATTAACAAGTAAGCTTCAGTCCCTTATAAATCACAACATGCTATTTGAGTGAGACTGAAATATTATTATACTCATCCGTTACTGATCGGTATACATATACAGATATCGTACTCTCATTAAATTAAGCGCGCGTTTTCTTCCGTAGATTAATAATGAAAAAAATATTAGAATAAGTACACATATTTTATAGGTATTTTTAGTCTTGTTTGTTTAATGGGAGCAATTTTAATCACAAAATTCTAACTTTTCGCATTTTGGTATTGTGATTTATTATTTTGCTGCAATTTCAGTCTTCAAAAGACTGTAGTTGCAACAAAATTTTAAATTACAGAATGAAATATTTGTAACAAAATTTCAAACTTCAGGACTTAAATTACTAATCGAAAATATGGGAATTTGAGAATTTGATGCACTTTTAGTCCTCAAGTGACTGAAATTGCAGCAAAATATTAAATAAGAGGACCAAAAAATGAAACGTTGGAACATCGAAATTAAAATTGCTATAATGTTTAATCAGCAGGACTGAAAATGCATTTTTGCCTATTTTATAATACGAACATTAATTTATTGATTATCAAATAATATTATTACTATTACCGGTAGAAAAGTGTGGGTGGAGGGTACTGATAGTATATGCCAAATGTACAACCCGCTTCCTCCAGCGACTCAAATATGGTCTTTTGAGGCAATCCTTTAATCAAAAGCTCCTTGTCATTGCTGGTGAGCCCATGTGACGTGGCGGAGTGCACAAACAGCCTGTTGGGCTGCGTGGACCCTGGCACGGACGCGAACCACCGGTCGCACACGGCAAACTCAGCCACCAGCTCCTTGTAAACCGGCAAACTCTCTGGCCGGAACCCATTCATGACAGTGCTAGACATCCCTTTCATTTTGCGCTCCGCGTTCTTGGCGAAACCTTGCATGTTGGGCCTCATTTTCTGGGCATCCAATTCTTTGGCCCACTCAACTCCAAACACCTGCTCAAAAACGTCCTGGATGGAGTGACCTGGGTCCGGGTCCACATAAGCAGATTCGGACCCAAAGAAGATTGGGCCGCCGGTGGGCATGGGATTGGACTCGGAGCCTGTGATGCCGTTGATATCTGGGTTTAGGGTTTTCATCCACCCGACCATGTGGTCGAAGGACCGGTTTTCTTGGACTAAAACTATGACGGTTTTGATGGGGGCTGAATTGGAGTACTTTGAGGCCATTTTTTGAGTAATGGTTTGGGAACAAGAGTTTTGATTTACTTTTTCTATTATTTGTTTGTTGTTTACCTTATGCAATTTTGGGTTTGGTGGGTGATGCTTGGTTTATATAAGCTTGCTTATGGGGAGAGTTTTCAGTTTGGAAGAAACTAGGTAGTTGAGAGGAGATTTAGTTTTTATCAAATGAAATATCAAAATAAACTCAAGGAAACGTGAAGCACTTAATTATATATATGTATACGGCTTTTGCCCCCTATGTGGATAGAGTAGATATTGAATTCGAAGATATGTAAAAATAGCTAAGAGAAAGTGATTTCTCATGAATCCAATATCTGGACGGGAGGATTTAAAAGAAGATATTTGAAACTTACAATGACAAATCCCTCGAGTTAGCTTGGAGACAATGAGTTCCAATATTATGGTTCTTTTTATTTTTAGGTGAATTTCAAATCAATTGATTTTTATTTTTATTTTTTTAATTTAACAAAGGCTCTCGCAAATCAAGTTGCGGTATCCAAATCGAAGCATATGGAAAACTTCAATTCTTGTGGATGATTGATTGTTTGGTAGCTCATTTTAACAATTTATCAAAAACATATGATGGCCTTGATATTTCTGTTTATTATAGACAAAATTGCAATTTTGGTTCGGTAATTTAGGTCGTTTTCAATTTTAGTCCAATAATTTAGGTCGATTCAAAATTGGGTAAAAGACTTAAATTCTTGTGG